CCATTGTTTCTTCTTTTTTCTTGGTGTGCACACATTAAAAGGGGTTTTTGTACATTATGGAAGTATCGACAATAAATGTTTTTAACTTGTTGACTCAGCATTGTTTGTTAATGTTGTCTTGCAGCTTAAAGGGTGTGTGGGTAAATCTCATGGAAATACCAAAACCAGCCTTTTCTGTTCCCTGCCTGTGGCACCCATTTTACAATGCAAAATTTTAAAAGCTTACAAATACATAAATTGTGGAGGGGGGTTGTTGTTTTTTGTTGTTTTCCAAGGCTCCTTAATTTCCTAAGGCAGCTGGGCCCTGTAGGTAACTCAAGCAAGAGGAAATATTGCAGTCATTTTTCAGTGGTAGATTAATACACACTTTGCACTCTAGTGAGTATCTGGAGCAGCAGGACAGTGTCAGCTAATGAGCTGTAAGTTTCCATTATTTTTCTATCACTTCATAGTACACTATTCTGCAGTCTTTTTGGTGTGCAAATATGAAGGGTTTCTGTACACTATCGCCTTTTCAACAATAAATGTTTTTAACTTGTTGGTTTAATGGTGTTTGTTGTTAATGTTGCATTATTGCTCCAAGGATGAGACTGGTGTTAATCTATGTTTTGGTTAAAAGCTTTTTTTTTATTTTTTTAAACTGATCATCATTTAGCAGGAGGAAATACTGCATTTGATGTGCCCAGCTGTTTTAGTCGATTATTGAGACATCTAGAAAATACAGGTGTTGTGTATATTTGCAAGGGGTTTTTACTTCTTCAGTAGGAACCAGTGGGACTGGAGTGGAGAGAACTGAAAGTATCAGGAGACTGACTAAAGCTTTGTTGGTCTTTATGTTTTTATGGGATGTTGCCAAGAAGAAAACTTCTCCATCACCAGCTTAAACTTTAATGTGCTCGCAAGCCCAAAAAAGCAAACACCAACCAGAAACCTTTCCTTTTACCTTTGTAGTATACCGCAACCTGTAAGGAAAACATTCACATCACACTTTTAAGTAACAAAAAAGAAATTACACTTTCATTGTCCACACTGAAACTGAAAATGAATGTCATGTAAACTGCAGAAGCGAGACAAGATGAAAAGCTTTCTTTCAAAAACACTGCATCACAACAGTTAATATAAACCATCACCTCCTCACTGCACAATGTCAAATTTGACTAAAGCTTTGCTTTGTCATCTGCAAGCAGAATATTCTGATGTACTGAATCAAACACAACACAGAAGCACATCTATGCTGGGTTAGGGTTCGGAAATGCACATAGTATCACAATCTCAAGGACATAATTAAATTACAGAGATTTAGAATGTAAATCTGCTGTAAATTCAATCCAACTGAACTGCAGAGAAACACTAAAATATACTGCATGAGAAAGGCACTGTAGTGATCAGGAGCTAAGTAATGTTTTTTCTTTCCATGGATAGTACTGTACATACATATAAAATGCCTATGCTGTCAAACAGACAACAATAGCAGATCACAGCAGAGATACACAATCATCAACTTGACAGCAGCTCGACCAAAATTATTCCTAAGAGGAAAATGGGTTTTGGATCAGTATTAGCATTAGCATAGCAATGAAGAACTGGGTTTCACTAAATGATGCCAACAAATAGGAACATGTACAGTAACATTTTCTATACATTTTAAAATTTTACATACAAGAATAAAACTAATCTAGATGTGTTTTACCAAAAATATGCTGACTGTAAACACAAACTTAGTAAATTGTAATGCTGTCAAAACTATTATTTATTCTATTTTTACAGTAACAAGGCCATTTATTGTGTTATTGTAAAAATCAACTGGACGAACTGTAATGTCATAAAATACATGTAAACTCTAGTTCAAGTGTATTTACATTCACACAAAGACAGAGAGACAATAATCAGACAAATAAATAACTTTTACAGTCTAGTGCTCCAGATGTGTGCTAGTGCACTGTGCAACATGTTGCATGCAGGGCCACTTATGGCAACATGGGCAGGTTCCTTTATATGAAAACGTTTCTTTTTATAATCTTGTCTCTCTGACAGGCTGAAGACACCAAGGGGCCCTCAATCAGCAACAACAATAATAACATCGATATCACACTTAGAAAAGTCCAAGTATGATGGGTGACACTAATCCATCAAAGATATAAAAATGAAATACAAATCTCCAAAACTGAGGAGCGATTTATATTTTAGTTTACATTTCATGTCTGAAAATACTATAATGATTCCATGTAAAAAGTGTATTTTTTGGGGCTGTGCTGTTTGCAGACTGGGCCACCTGGTAGATAATCAGCTGTAGACTCACTTAAGTGATATTGCACTGATGACTTATAATAATCAACAATGCTTGAGAAGGAGTGTAAAGGTGATGTGGGGGCTGGTCATTACATCTGCTGCTAAGACCTGGAGTGACACAAAAATAGGTCAGATGAGTATTTTAGAGATATTTTATACCAGACTTACGTTTTTATATGTTTGAGCCATTTGCAGGAAGTTATTCTTAAGTGAGTCAAGAAGCAGCTTTGTGCAAAGCATGAGCAGGAAGTTGAAGTGAAAGTGGAAACTAAGACTTCTGCCCTATAGCAAGAAAATCTCACTAAAAGTCAAGGATGACAGCTGTGTTGCCATAATAAAATGTTATATACATTTTGCAGTAATGGAAAAAAAAATGTATGGAAAGTGCAAAAAAAAAGAAACGTTTTTGAGGTGGTGGTTTTTGACGTTTTGGGAGAATAGCTATTGAACTTCATGGGAGGTGAAAACAATGTCTCGTAAGCTCTGATGCAGTGAACATTCACCGTATATGACTAATCAGCTGTTTCTACTTCTTTTGTTGTCTTACTCTATGGACAGCATGAAATATGTCCAGTACCAGCTGACATCAAAGAATCATTATAACATTCCTGACTGAAAACATTTCCTGAAGACATCTCTCCATTTTACCCTTGTAGATGACTGAAATTTGTTTTCATTTTTTTTCCCCCTTTTCACAGAATGAGATATCTATCCACTTGATTGAGCTCTGTTCGACTTTTAGATCCCAAACAATTGTATGGCTCATGAAAATGTTTACAATAATTTATATATTATTATTATGCTGCCTAAAAAAAAAAACCTTTATATATATTGTGTATGACACACAGTGTCTTGCAGTCATGCATATTTTGATCAAGAATCTATTTTGAATATACTCCATAGGTCTTCATTCAACATCCATCCATTTGAATATTCATTAATGACTGACCAGTACGTGATGGATAGATAGACCTGAATATATGACCTGAATGCCTTTCTGTTCATTCATCCATGATATCAATGGAAAGACAGATAAATGTCCACATGTACTTCTTTAAGGATAGCTAGACACGTGTGGATATCAGTCATACAGAGATCCACAAACAGGATTCAGTCTGTTACAATTAACCCTGAACGTTGGGTAGGTTTTTGGTCACTTTCCCTGGAACTGTGCAAGAACAGTAAGACCTAGAAACAGACTCTGAATGCTCATGTATAGCAGACATGTATATGTTGCTTGTATTAAAACCTTAATCAATCAATCAACCACTGTCTTAAACAGTGATATAATGATATAATGATATGATATAATGTATGATGTTATGCCCTACTCTTCCTGAAAGCTGGTTAAAAGTTGAAACAATGACCTCAGAAAAAAGTGTTGAGGAGTGTCGAGGATATGTATGAATCCAAGTTGCAAAGATGCTGCTGCACTTGTAGGTTTTTCTGTGTTTAAATTAGTTTTAATTGTAAAATTAAGAAACCAAAGGTGCATTTCTGCTAAGTCTGTACTCAAGCCCCATTAATGTTTCATGGTCCACGAGAAACATTTCCAGACCCGCGCACTGGTTCTTCCGCAGCTGCATTTCTAATATAATTCAGAATTGTGTGGCAAATCTTTTTGTGTTTTACAGTTTATCAACATGTTTGCAGCTTGTTTGGATGCTTTTAGCTGTGCTTGAACATGACAACCCTTTATGTCTCTCACTTTAGCTGTCATTACTCATTTTAAATGCCAGTAAAGCTGATCTCAGCTCACAGCACAGCTACAATCAAAAGACTGGAACTTTTATTTTATCAGATAACAAACACAATGACTTTATCCACAGAATACTGCTTTGGTAAAGACTCCTGCTTGTATTTCTGAGCCATGATCAAAGTAATTTCTGACTACCAACAGATAAAGAAGAATATAGGACCACCACTATAGGTGATCACATACACACACATATAGCTTGTTTCTTCATATTTTTTCTTCTGTGTCTTTCACAATAAATACAATCAAAACATTTAGTATTGCAAGACACTAAGATAACAGAGCCAGGGGTGGGAGAGAGACAATATTCTGAACAATGATTGGGATTCTCCTCTAATTATTCTCACAGATGCAGGGACTTTCTGACACACTTCTCATGCTCCCATTTATCCTGAGCACTGTCTTTCTTGTGGCTGTTTGAGACCACAAGAAATAAATATCGATTATGTTGAAGCCCATGTTCTGTTTAGTGGAGATTACAAGCAGGTAATAACATGAGCTAAACAACACAACAGTTAAAGGTTCAGGAGAACTGTGACATAATCAGTTAATCTAAGTCCGTACCTATCGCCAAACAGGGATGACAACTTACTATATCTAAAATATATATATATATTGGTGCTTTGCAAAAGAGGAGAAACAGTTTGGTGTTTGTGAATAAGTCATAAACGGGGAGCTACAAAGCATGAACACAAAAGACACAAAAGATATGACCTCTCTGTCTGCAACACTATGATCAATGTCGTTGTTGGGGAAAGTCTCATGTTTGAGTTAGACCTACTATACAGTTAGTTTAGATATCACACAAAATTCTGAAAAAATCCCACCGTACAAAGTTAAGAGGCACCTTAAACATTCAGTCAGGCTCTAGTGTTTAGTCTCTGCACAGGACAATGTCCACATACCATGCAGATCTTGCAATAAAGGACATGACCATGAACACTGTCACTGTGTCTCAGACTGTGGACACGTTGCTGGGTGTGAGGCTGTGCGTGAGGGCGAGTGTATCTGAGACGGGTTGATCTTTGGGGCTGGATTTGTCCAGGACCGATATCTGAGTGACCGTGCTGCTTTCAGTGAACAGTGTGCGCCGTCGTTTACTGTAGCTCAGGTAACTCTGAGTCTGCCATTTCCAAAACCTCTTCTTCAGCTCAGCTTGCACCTAAAAACACAAGTTAAAATGGAGAAATAAGAACAGAACATTTAAAACATGAGAAACAAATACTTCCGAATGGTACCTCCTTCACACTCCTGTTAGTTTTCTTTCACCTGTCATAATACACATAAATAATTTTTAAAAACCCGGATTTTGGTGTAAATCCTCCGAGTGCTCTGTCCAATTTTAATCTAAACAGAAACCTAATCAACCAGGAGATGTAAAGTCACCTGTGTCAGTGTACGGGACCTATAAAAAGGCAAAATTTAATTCTGAAGGATTTCAGTTTTCATTACAATACCTGCTGGCAACTACTGTACCAGATGAGAATAACACAGCCATGACAGATAATGTCTAAAAGCAAGTCTTGTTATGTTTATTTTTAAAACACAGGGGCACTAAAATGGTTGACCAGAGTAGGAAAATCTGTCCGGAAATTTTACAATGCGCTTTGAAAATAATGTAATGTACTTGTACACTGATAAAAATACAAAACCATGTATGTTGTGTAGTATTTACTCACCTCACCATTCAGGAAACAGTAAAGCAGGGCCACAACGAATCCCTTTAAAGCATACAAATATTATACAAAACTGTCACATGCCATTTTTTAGTCATAAGTCTTTTTTAGTCTTTACCGTTGAAAATGTATATGTACTTTACCTGGAAGGATCCCAGACCAAGCTCTATGAAGATTCGGGCCTCTGCACCTGTGTGTTCTGGCAGAAAGGCAAACACCATGTAGTGCATCCCAAACAGAGGGATGAGCAGCAGAGTGGATTTGGCCAATCTCCTGCACACACATGAACAACAGACACATGGTGACTACTTGTGTGTGTGCTTGTGTTTTATAAGTGTGTGCATGGTGTTGTAATTTTTTTTTCCCATCGTGTGGCACATAGTTTACTGGGCCTCACTTGAAGTGACTGGTGTCATTGCCACCAACACCGGGAGATCTCAGCTTCTGGACCAGAATACGGATCACATTGATGAAGATAATGAAGTTCACCTGCATCAAACAAATGAGATGCCAACATCACATCACTCTGCAGATGCTACCATTTTCAAGAGCTTCAATTTTGTTTAATCAGTACTTCACGCTTGCAAAAAAAGAATTTTACGGATTTTTAATATGCAATTTGATAGGGGTTACAATCAATCGTGTGTGTGTGTGTGTGTGTGTGTGTGTTTGTGTGTGTGTGTGTGTCTGTGTGCGCGTGTATCTGCACCCACGCAGTAGGCACCTTTAACACTAAGCTATCTAGTCGCCCTCCATCATTTAAAGGTTCTACATGGTGAAAATGTGTCTTTACTGTGTTCTGTAGTTGTTATAAACTTGGAGATTTAAAATGAAAAATGTTAAGATATGAAGACGTTTACTTCTGCCATTCCTCAAGCCTCCCATAACTAGTCAGCCTCCCAGTTATACAAGCTAGAAAGAATTCAACCCTGGTGCTATGTAACATCTAACTAACCAGAAGTTGTTCAGTTCAAACAGACAGTGTGCTCTTCCTAATTTCTACTGAAGATATGGCCCTTCCAATTTCCAACCTTTAACCCTCTGAAGTCTCTCTAAAACTCAATCAAATTAAACCATTTGTCAGAATAGCCGAGAAGCCATTGAGGAAATGCCACTGACCAGCAGCCTTATTTATGTGCAAAAATATTCATGAGGCACTTTACATTGACCATTCATGGTAGAATGTGGGTGTGTAGTGGGCGGGATATGAGGTGAATCCATCTGCGCAAACTTCTCAGGTGGCTCATGATTTATAAAGGGAACAGTGCTTACAGATGTGCTTACGGTTTTATAAATCAGATCATTTTTTTGACGCATGCCATTTTCAGCTTTTGGGCCCATGGACACTTTTAGTATGGATCCTACGCAATGTTTTTAAAAATGAGGTCCCAGGTCTGTACATTGGAGAGAAAAAGCCCCCAGTGAGTAAAAATGTGACAGGAGCAAAAACAAAACAAAACAACAAAATAAGGTCACGGTCCAGAGGGTACAACATGGTGGGTTTAAAAGCTGACAAAAAATATCCCCACCACCACCTTACACATTAGAAAAGACAGAACATAAACGTAAAATTAAACTTGCAAACAAGGGGCTAATAGCAGCTTTGCACAGCCTCTCAGTGAAACAAAGTAAAAACTCTGGCAGGGAAACAATCAAGTACACCAATTAGTCATTTCTGTTGACTGTGTGTGCACTGGCCAGGTTTCAGTGTAGCAAGTCAGTCAACTTTCCTTAAACTTGTCGTTGTTGGCCCTTATGTGAACACAAGATAAAGGAGTGCAATAGTTGCTGCAGTGTCAAAACGCTGGACTGTTCCAAGATTGAATACTCTTATAACCCCTCAGTGTTTCCCTCAAACTGCCCAGTACTCACCAGTAGTGATGCAGTTATTGGAGCTTTTATGATCCACCAAATGAAGGCCACATCTGTGTCATCCCAGCACCTAAGATGCACAACAGGCAATAATGAAATAAATAAGACCCAGTCCCAGGTTGACAATACTGAACATTTCATCCCGAAACACACAGCAACCCAGCGTCCACAGCCAGAACATCATGTTAGGAACAGGAGAAAATCCTTACTGGTAAGTATAAATCTCAATCTAAATCTGTCATTAGTATTATGTCAAAACAGGTGCACCGTGCACTTTACAATCACTCATTCATCATCATTCATCCTTGTGTTAAAAATAAAGGACTTTGCTAATTTTCTAATTAAGTCAATTGATACATTGTATATAAATAGGTGTCTTCATGTCACACATGGAAATTAGTAAGAAACATTTCTAAAGACTAGCTCTGAAAACTCATTAGTTTCACATCATAGTTGTTTGTTTGTTTTTTCATGACAGTAATCCCTCTGTGCTCAAAGGCAAGTTGTTGGAGTAAGTTAGCTACACAGCCAATGGCTGATTACAAAGGATACTGAATTGTATGGGGTCACCTACAAGTTGATCTACCCACATGTTGCAAGTTACCGTGAACTTTCTTATTAGAGACTGCGTGGACTGTGAATGTAAATTTTTACTGTCTGAGGAACTCTCTTAATAGGACAGTGTTGAATTACTAATGACTTCTTTCAAATTTTCTTTCAAAGTTACTCAGAACCACAGGCTGTATGTTTGATACCCCTGATCTAAAACAAAAACAGATCTGTAAAAAATGACATCTCACTGTTATGTAACAGACCATTTCTTAGCTGAGACCAATTACTTGTATTCATCCAGAAATAGTATGGCGCACACACACACGTGCACACACACACACACACACACACACACACACAGACACACGCACACACGCACACGCGCACACACACACATCCTAAGCAGGAAGCAGTGGTCAGCTTTAGCTATTTAGTTGTCTGTTTAGAGTAAACACACAAGCAATTGATTATGACTAGATGACATATAAATAAATGATAGCCTAAGAGCAAACAACTGAGTTGACTTGTTTTTGTTAAACTCTGTACAAGGTGTTATTCAGAGATGGGGAGAGGTACTGGTAGGTGGATTTTGTTACCTTTGGACAGGGCCAGGGAAGCTTTTCACACTTTTTCCTGTCTTTATGGTAATCTAAGCAAACCAGCAGCTAACTCTTACTTTGTATTTATTGTAATACTATGAAAGTATCAAAGATCTAGTCATACAACTCTCTGCAAAAACTAAAGTCAAATCAGGGATATCAAATTTGGTGTCACTTATTCTAACTAGCAACCGATTTAGTGTGAGAAATACCCAATGATTTGCATAAAGTAGCTCTAAATATGAATGAATGCTGGTTTGATCAGTTTGGACATCTGCACAACTGTGCCAAAAGACAGTATTGTCCATTGTTGGATTTCGCCTGTGTAAAACATAATTTACTAAAGAAGACAAACACAATGTAATTTCTTGAAATATACCCAAGAGTGTTTTTGATGCACAAAGCATGAAACATAAAGACGTTATATCCCATACTACACGCCATGTACTGTGTGGTGGTTGGATGCATAAATTCTGTTTCAGAATGTTCACATTGTAATTGACATTTTCTCTGCTCTCCTTCAGCAGCAGCTCACCCTGTGTTATCATAGAAGTTTCGAGTGAGAATCCATGCTGTTATGATTGTTGTTGGGAGACCTGCAAGGCACAAACAGTGTGACCGAATGATTAGGAACAAGTCAAAGAGTTACTCCAACAAGGGACAGAAAATGGAAGGAAAACGAAGGGAAACAGAGAGAGGTGAAAAGAAGGTTCATAATGAAGGGGCACCCACCCCAGCCAATGAGTATGTACCACCAGAAGTATTTTTTCTGAAAGACAAAGGTGAGAGCAAGCAGCGTCTGCAGGTACATGCCCTCCACCAGCAGCCAGAAGTAGTTTGCCAGAATACTGAACTGGAAGAAGGCCACGGCTGATTTACAGGATGTCTGGGGAAGAAACAAACAAAGAAAAGCCACAAGCATCAAATTAGTCTGTGGAGCTCATTCATCTGGAGGAGCTGCAGAGGCAACAGCTCCTCTTATCAATCCAATCAGTTTTTTGGATCACAAGGAGGTTTATGCTGATAAATAAGGCCATGCAGAGAACACCCTAGGCTGAAATTCTTTGCTTGTCACATACACCTAAAGCTGTAGGTGTTAGCTATAATCACACTAATTATAATTAAAGCTGATTCCCATCCAATTCAGTTACTGTTGCTATGCCTATCAAGCTTTCTGGAATGGTACAAATGCAGTGGCAGATTTACTACTCAATATTCACAGGCTGTCTGAAATCCTCATTTACTATTAGTGTCCAACATTTATTTGGTCCATTCCTCCTGACAGAACTGGGGTAACTGAGTCAGGTTTGTTAGCCACTTTGCTCCCACACGTCTTTTCAGCTCAACTTTTCTCACAAATTTTCTGCTGGATTGAGATCAGGGTTTTGTGATGGCCACTCCAAAACACTGACTTTGTTGTCCTTAAGGTTCTTTGTAACTAATTTGCTGGTTTGTTTAGGGTCATTGTCTATTTGGAAGATCCATCAAGGCTTTAACTTCCTGGCTGATGTCTTGAGATGTTGCTTCAGTATTTCCACATAGTCTTCTTTCCTCATGATGCCATCTATTTTGTGAAGTGCACCAGTCCCTCCTGTAGCAAAACACCCCCACAATATGATGCTGCCACCCCCGTACTTCACAGTTGGGATGATGTTCTCAGGTTTGCAATCTTCACTCTTTTTCCTCCAAATATAACGATGGTCATTATGGCCAAACAGTTCAATTTTAGTTTCATCAGACCACAGGATGTGTCTCCAAAAATTTAAGTCTTTGTCCCTGGGTGCATTTGTAAACTGTAATCTGTTTTTCTTATGTTTCTTTTGGAGGAATGTCTTCTTCCTCTCTGAGTAGCCTTTCAGTCCATGTCGGTACAGGACTGGTTTCACTGTGGATAATGACATCCTCTGACCAGCTTCAGCAGCATCTTCACAAGGTCTTTAGCTTTAGTTCTGGGGTTGATTCGTACAATTCGCACCAAAACAAGTTCATCTTTGGGACACAGAACCCATCTCCTTCCTGAGTGTTATATTGCCTGGACATTCCCATGGTGTTTATTCTTGCATATAATTGTTTGAACAGATGAACGTGGAACCTTCAGGCATCTGGAAATTGTACCCAAGGATGAAGTAGCCTTGTGGACATCCACAATTCTCTTCCTGATATCTTGGCATGTTGTCAATTAACCTATCAAAAGCCTCCAAAGCCATGGCATGAATAGTTTGAAGGCATAGTAATTTAAGTGTATGTAAACTTATGACTTGGAGAAAGTAATAAAAAATTCTCTAAAACATTCTCTCTCTCATTATTGTGGCATTTAGCAAATATAAATAATTTCAGTAATCCTAACTGACCTAAAGCAGGAAATGTTTAGCCTGATTTAATGTCAGACAGTGGGGAGAAAAAAAAACGTTGTATGTCTTTTTATACAGTGTATGTAAATGTCTCGTTTCAACTGTATCTATGAACAACTCTAAAATATACTGTCTCTGGCCACAGCTGTTGCCGGAGTGAGACATAAAAAAGACAAGTCAGTATTGAAATGTAATCACACAACCAAGACATGTAAACTCACAAAATGCAGATATTTGTAATTGTTGGCATTTAATGAGCTTTTCCTTAACAAAAAAAAAAAACAAAAAATTTTTACAATTTAATGCCTTGCTTCTTACAGAATTTTTATTTGGACTGACTTTGGTGCATCTTGGAGAACTTGCCAGCGTTTGTCTGTGGATATAGGCTGTCTCAGTGTCTCATGTGTTCATGATGTTGAGGTCAGGGATCTGGTTTTAGACTTGTGCTTGGTTTAGGACTTGTTTCTATCCTCCTCCTCTTTCACTGGGATATATTTACATGTATCTGGGTAAATCTGTTCACCACCTGTCTCCACTGTAGTCGAGTTGTGAGCAAGTGTCATTTGATGTCAATCTATGAAGGATTTAAATCTTTTCTATGTTTTTAGACATGAGATAGTTTGAATGCACCACACACCTCTTAGTTCTCCACCTGTACTCAGACCATTTGTGGCTTTAAAGGGAGACCTGAAAGGAGGACGTACATTTTTCTTTGTTGTTGTGTTTTTCAAAATCTAGCTCACTCTTACTGTTTCTACAAACCCATATACTCTGGCTACACCCTTTCTGTAGTGGCATGTTGTGTTCTGAAGCACAATAGCTTTTTCTTTGCTCCTTCTTTCTCTTAAAGCCCTTGTTACCTTAGCCTCACATCTCCTCTAAATGAGTCATAGCGATGTGCCGACACTGGTCCTTCATGGAGGGCCTCTTACCTTCACTCCAGGCAGCCTCATCAGCAGAAAAGTAGGAAGAGAAACACTCTTCATTAATACTTCGCCCAGCTTACCACCATTTGCGATTTGTAGTAATTCAGTCCTACCCCATTTCTGCTCTCTAGAATAATACAAGCACTTGTGCATGTCCAGAAAACATAATGCAAGAGATTCTTTCTGACTACAAACCCGTAACTGTTTATTAAATGTGAGATGATGTGAGTTACAGTTAAGTCATTTCATCTTTATTTTTTCAGCAAAGGACAACATATTTACTTTTGCCTTATAGTAGTGTAAAACAGTGGTGTGACTTCTTCTTCCCTTGTGGTCTCTTACCGCTGGGTTTGTTTAAGTAAACGATGTGAATTCTTCCCTCCTAAATGTGATACGGTTGAAATAGTTGCAGAGTTTCACACTCACCGTAGACATGAAGCAGTGGTCCAGGTTTTCATCAGAAAAAAGGACACCGTCTTTGATGAAGACAGCACTTGCTCTCAGGATGAAGGAGACGAACAGGTTGATGTGGATGTAATTCCTGGTGCAGTGAAACTTCCTGAAAAGCAGAGAATAAACTTTATTAAAAATATACTTTTTTCTAAAATAAAACTATTTGGACAAATATTTATTCATACTTTCATTAATTATCACTGAAAACTTTCTAAGATTTAGGCTTTTAGGGAAAATCTTCAGCATTACCTGAAGACAGTGAAGACGAAAATAGCTGAAATGAGAGCGATAAGAGAGGTGGCGTAGCCAGCAGTGTACACCTGTTTGAAGTTGGAGAAATATGTTGTCTGACATGCAAGACAGACAAAAGAGACAGGAAATAAACCAAAGTTAACATGTGTCAACTTGCTGCAGTGTCATGACATAAATTAAACGAGATTTGTTCTGACACACAATTGTAGAAACCTTTACATTAATCATAAGCATAGCACAAGTCCTCGGGCAACAATTAGCTGTAGCAATTTCATTATTTCCACAGGTACTCAAAAACCAACTAGAACTCTAGAGCTGACCTGTTTGGTCGGTCATGAGATTGGTTATTTTCATAACAGAACAACTGTTTAAGTCGTGTTTAGGCAAAATTGAGCCAGTTTCTTTGGTAATAACTTGTCAAGCACGAATATTTGGTAGTTGGTCAGTTCTCTTATTTTTGTCTGTTGGCCAGACGAAAACAGAACATTCTAATCCCATTAGCCCCTCCATCTAAAACAAATCAAACCATTGTATGTACTGAATTACCGTGTGTTTTTCTTTTCCATGTTTCTTGTGTTTCCCTGCTTGTGTCTCGCTCTATGTGTAGGTTTTACACTGCTTTTCAGTTACTTCCTGTTGTATTTTGAAACTGCTTTTCCTCACGTCTACATGTTAGCACGTGTTATTACGTGTTACTTTTACTTCTTGTCTCTGTTTCCTTCCTTTCGATTTCCCTGATCTGTTTCACCTGTGGCTTATGAATCATCTGTGTCTTTTCTCTCCATTCTTTGTGTATATATAGTCCTGCAGCGTTGTTCTCCACCAGTTCGTCCTGTTTCAGCTCCTGTCTCTAACTCTACCTACTGTCTGCATGACTCCCCTTGTTTGTTTCTGGTTTGGGGTTTTAGTTTTTCTCTCCATATTTATTCACCTTGTGTTTTCCTGCCTGTTTGCTACCCTCTTGTTTGGCCTCCTGAAAACCTGCCTGAGTTCTCACCTGTTTCCGGAATTCTCCAATCATAGCAGGTTTGATTAAAATTTCTTTTTCTACAACCTGCCTGCCATTCACGGGTGTCTGCACTTAAGTCATTACCTGAACACCCCTCAACTAATATAGATGAAGATTTGTGATTGAACGGACAAAATAATAGTATCTAATAGAAGTAATCTTGGGCAGCTTTCTGCTCTGCCAGGTTGGGAATTAGAAATGCAGGATTGTGCAGTATAATGTGACTACTGAGTGTCAGTTGAGTCTGAGTGCACGAGCTGAACCATTCAGTGAACTTGGCAAGTGTTTATATGATGACTCTGACTTGCTGCCTTTGGAAACTCCTTGTACTTACGAACAACTTCACATTCAATGAATCCGTGCAGCTGTAGCTTATTTGTCTCTTGCACTTTACCCGACCCAGGTTATCTTTTGAGGTTTCATGTCTACTTTCATTTGACTTGCACTTCATTCCTCTAACTGCATCTAAGAAGTGATGAGAACTTGTTCAATTAGGACAGATAGAGTTCAAAGCATTTTTCTTGGGCAGACCATTTCTCTATAAACCAGCATTAAAATCATCCATTTCAGGGTCATCCCAAAGACTTTCTGCAACAGTTTGGCTACATTACAATACCAATACCAGTCTCTTTTACTCAGTAAAGAAGAGGCCCAATATTTGCTAAACCCAGGCCACAATTTAGGAAAATAGAAATTAACAAGATTTTCATCTCAACAAATAGTTAATGTTCACACTTTCGGAAAGCACTTTTCAATGAGTTCTTAATTCACACACAATCACACATCAGTGGTGGCAGAGCTATGCACCTGCCACGCAAGGTGCTAATTTGCCATTGGGAGAAACTTGGGCTAAGTGTGTCTTGCCCAAGGACACTTCAACACGGGGAGTAACTGGAATCTTATTGTCAACCTTGAAATGAATTAACAATCATCCGAGCCGTGCCTGACAAAATGCCAATGCTGTTATTTTTGCAGCAGTCTTGAAGGGTTCAAGTTGACGGAGAGAGCTGTCATCTGTCTGGTTCGCATCCCAGTGAGGACACCCGGAATCTTTCTGTGTGGAGTTTGCATGTTCTCCCCGTGCAGCGTGGGTTCTCTCCGGGTTCTGCAGCTTCCTCCCACACAGTCCAAAAACATGTTGAGGTTAACGGGTGATTCTAAATTGTCTGTAGGTGTGAATGTGAGTGTGCTTGGTTGTCTGTCTCTAAGTGTAGCCCTGTGATAGACTGGTGACCTGTCCAGGGTGTCCCCTACCTTCACCCTAAGTCGGCTGGGATAGACTCCAGCCCCTCACAACCCTAGTGAGGATTAAGTGGTGTTTAGATACTGGATGGATGGATAGTTTTCTTTTTCAATGTAAATATTGTTATTACTAATTATTGTTGTTTTCCTGTACTTTCTTTCTATATTTTTGGATGTTACTGTGGCGTGTGAATTTCCAAATTATTCTGTTCTATTCTACTCTATTCTATTCTATTAACAAAGCAATATGTTTGTTTGATTTCTCAACGATGTGAGGATGCTGAGTGAGTGATTAGTGATGCTGAGACTTGTCACAACACTCTCTGGCACCTACAATATGTCTGTACTGACTGAGCAGAAGCTGAGAAACTAACAAAAAGTCAAAATGATAAGGAAGGACGAGAGACAATGAGTTAAAGCGAACGGACTTATTGATGTACAGCAATTTGGGCTGATTAGAGATAGTCAGCTAGAACTTCTACCTCTGGTTCTGTCTCTTCATCCTCTGCAAACTCACAGGCCTCCTCATAGGATGGGTAGTGCTCAGACCATCCTTCTTCAGTGCAGTTCTTATAGATGTAACCTAGAAAACACATGGTGCTCTCACAGGCTTAGATAGAAAAGAAAGAATAAGAATTCTGAAAGAACAAGAGCGCACTGGTACTCAAAGTGGGTGGTCTTGAGGACAGGTGGAGGGTGCCTAAAATGTTTTTGTTTCGTCAAGTTAAAACAAACTTTGTGTTACACTTCCAAACATATCGACAGTATCAGGAATGCTGTACTTGAAACGCTAACAGAGGAAGCAATGAAAATGAGTAAAACAGATATTTTAACTTGAAGGAGAAGTTGGGTGAACTTCAGACTGTTATCATTGAAATGTAAACAGAAAGATAGATTAAAGACACTTGATGGTTCGTCTCTTCTCTTCCCATTATGTATACAAAATCTTCCTTTAATAGATTTTCAGTGCGAACCTCCAGCACTCTTCCAGTAGCAGTTTGCAGCGTCACTTCACTTAAAATTCACCCTTCTATTACGTGCTGTACTTCTGATGGTCATACAGATACTGTGCTTTTCATCCAAGTTCTAAAGCTCTGTCTCTGAGAAATTCACCATGAAGGGATGCTATTTAGTTTTGTTTGAAAGGGAAAAATTATACTCAAGAGAAAAAAAAAAGCCTCTAACATTAAAAGATATAGTCCCTTACTAATTCTCAATAAAGCCCAACATTGAAATTATATAAAGTGACAGAAAACATCCAGACCACTTAAAGTAGAAATACAAGGCAATAGAAAGTTGTTAGTTGACATTTTTTTAAAAACCATTGAGGTACATTTCACCAGGAAATCTAATTCTGATGGGCCATGTGATTACTAGCATAGCTTTTGCAGAAGCTGAGGTTAAGTGCAGGAACAGTATGGGCACAAATCTTGCAAACAAATACTGGAGACCATTAATTTCAAATCAAAAGTCAATTACACACCAGGGCGAAGAGGTTTAAATGAGAATTGTCCTTTCTTCAATGTTGTTCAGAGTCTAGCTGCATCATTCTGTTTTCAAGTCCGAGACTGAAGAAGGTTTTGCAGTTTGTAGAGAAATGCATTTACTAGTTTGCTGTGGAGGTGCTTGAACTGCCTGGACAGAATCGTAACCTCATTCCCATCCAACACCTTTGGGATGAACTGAAATACCAACCTTATTACACAAGGTCAGTGTACACCTCACTAATGCTCTTGGAGCAAATCCCTGCAGCCTGTCTCAATATCTAGCGGAGTAAATAAAACTCAAAAAGGGGGGACTGTTACATGTTTGTCAAACCTAAGGACTGAGATGGAAAGTAGTTACCTAATATTTTTTTAATATATAGAATTTATATTGTTTCAATTTGGGTTATAAAATATATATATATATATATATATATATATAAAGTTAAACCTGTCTCACCTAAACAGACTGTGTCACAGCATCACATAGGTCTGTAACATGCAAATAAAGTGTGATGCCTAATTTTGGTCACTTGTTACAATTTGTTTGGATTCATCAGGTGCATTCTATTAGTTTCACTGGGACACAGGGACACATTTGTTGTTGTAGATTCTAAGACTGGAAATAACATTGCTCTTCAATGTGCTGCACCAAAACTCCATCTGCCTGGTAATAATGTGGGTGTAGGAAAACACACTTCCTATTAAAATGGACACATGACAAACACATATAAATGCTTATACGACTACCATGCAACTACTCCATTCACAACCGCTGATACTGTAAAACCTGATACTCACAATTGATAAGAAATCAACTGTCAAATGTTTAAAGCTGTGCAGGATTTTTACATGTAAATGAACGTCCATTCCAGTCAAGCTCCTGCTAAACAAGTTTACACACTGCTGCTTAGGCCTATCAGCACCAAGTAAATCTCTTTGAATTTCACAGTAGATTTTGAATGTAGGTTCCATGGTGACATTCTTCAATGTGCTTTACGTTAACCAACAGTGTGATTCACAGTGATTGATTTGCCAGCGCTAAAGAGGGAAGCAACTACAGTGATGGGGATGGAGCAGGCTGCTGCAAGTGACTAAAGGTGTATCTACAAAATACTGACTTGAAGGGAAGGAATACTTATACAGTCACTTATTTTGCATTTTATATTTTTAATTAATTGACATTGTATAAATACATTTTCACTTTGACATGAAGTTGTCTTTTTTAGTGAAATCTTGTCCATAAAAACCTAATTAAATTAACAGTGATTTATGTTAAAACGCAATTAAAGGAGACAGCTTCCAAGCTAGGTAAATACTTTCTAAAGACGATGGTTTACATGACAAAGTATTGAGTGTTTTTGTTAAGGAAATGACAAGTTTAAATGAGTCTGACCCCAATGCTCACACTGGGGCGGTACAGAAACTCATAAAAGCCCATAAAAAACTCATATCTTATTGATAAATCACTGTAGCCCAAAAGTACATTTTTTGGTCACTTACTTTTATCACTTGGTATGATTGCCATGCAGGAGTTCAACTTGAGGATTCACATAAAACAAGCTTTATTAAAAAATAATACCCGTAATAAATAAAAATAATATTTTTGACTTTTAAAGAGAAGTGATGAATTATGATATTTTTTTTTGTTGTTGTTGTTATTGTTGTTCTTCAAAAAACCCTTGGTAAGTGTTTATGAAATTTGACCAGATGAAGGCTGCAAATATGGAATTTAAATTAGCTGAATTCAGCCATGTTCTCCCACTATGGCCTGGAGTTAGAATGATGGAGCTCAATCACTGAGTCCTACGACAGTCATGACACACACAAGGTCACCAAGTATTCCGTGTGAATCTATGTTTACAAGAGGGAGGATAAAAAGTTTACAGTGGAATAACAGCTTTCAGATTTGTGATGTGAAAATGCCTGTCCGGCTCCTCAGCACAAGAGAGGAGAGTGTGGGGGTTTGAGTTGTGGGTGGATTAACCGATATCCATCCACATTAGCCTCAGTATAACGTGGTGTGTGGAGCCTGCAGGCTTGAGCCACGGCAGATTGGCGGTTGGATCTGAATGAGGGTTGAAGGCCGAGGCTCTGGGGAGGGTGCAAAAGCTCATACCACCATGCTTAACAAGCAGTGCCAACTCCTTCCTCATGCTCTTGGCTCCTACAGTGAACTCTTTGATTTTTCAATTCATTATTTTCTCTGCATGCAGCCTCCCATTGGAAAGGCTCGATCAACTCCACAGCTACAGTGCTGGACTTAATCAGAGCGTCTGTGGAGGAGGAAATCCAGAGAGGTCCAGGAACCCACTAACACTGAGTTATGAGGTCGTCAACAGCAACCTCCGCCTCCTGATCCCTCCACGCAAAGTATATGCTTAACTTTCACTCACAAGCTGCTCTGTTTTTTTTTATTCTTCTCTGCTTTGTGCAGTCTTTCATTCGCTGCTAGAAATCAGTCAAGTACACTGATTAAACAATCAAATTATTAAGATCTGCATCCACAGTTGTGTTCAGCGTCCCTTTAAACCCCCCAGTGTGCCGTTAATTCAATTTTTACAACTTTTAATGAGATACAAAATGCTCCTATTGTGTAAAAACTACAATTCCCTGTGGCAGTGCTATGTAGCTGAAAACAAATTAGTGCCATGATTGTAGCTCTTAAAGTTTTTAGAACAAGCAGGTTTGATAGGGTTATAAAATGATATTTCTGTTATTTAAATCACATACTTTATAAAGCCGAACTAGTGATTACACTACTTCTAGATGATATATGTTGATAAAATGAAAATATGACAGCTTATTTGGGATGTATAATGTTTTATTAAATAAAGTGGGTGCAGGCTTTACAGTAGTAGGGAGGGCCTGAAAGTCCAATACTGACTCCATATTTGAAACATATTGTTCAGCCGAACTGTCAGTTACTTACTAACTAAATCATCTGTGGTGAGAAAAAGTTAATATGTGGGTTTGATTAAAATATTATAGTCACAGCATTTCAGTACAGCTGCTGCAGGACGAGTCAGATTGACAGAGACAAGGAAAAAAAAAAAAAACAACTTTGTGTTTTCCTGTCGAACTGGATCGGGAGTCTTCCTGTGTCAGTGCTGCTGATCAATGCTGTAAATAGATGATAACGACCTACTGGACCTGCTAGGAGACAGAGTAGGGTTCCATTGCCCCATACAAATGGGCTCATAACTGATAATGTCCATTCAATCGAGTGATAACGACTGAATGCAGTTGCGTACGATGATGTCAGTGACACTGATTTGATATAAACACTGAAAACAAAACGAAGCATCCAGTAGACCTGATGCCTTTATGTTGATAAATGAATAATATGAGTTTGTATGCCTTTATGAACGGTATTTTTTATATGAATGCATAAAAAGAAAGAGCTTGTCGACCCAAACTGGATGGTAAAATCACTGGGTGGATTCAGAGAAGCAGGACAAAATATGTTCAAGCTGAAGTCCAATGAACGAAAAGGTTAAAAATGTACAAATATATCAGCTGTGGAAGGATGGTAGCACTTTTTGTATGTTATTCCAAAACACCAGAACAGGCTCCTCCTCTACGTTCTCATGTCGTCAGTTACCAATGTTCAGGGAGGTCTATAACATTCAATGAGAGCACCCTGGAAGTCAATTAATGATGAGAGGGGGATAGCCGACGAGTGAATATGAGACAGATGAAAGGGACACAAGCGGTGATTTGTGTCGTTTTTCGCCAGGATGTCCCTGGTCCAATCACAGATGTATTGGAATGAGTCCCAGGACACATGGAAGTTCTGCACAAAATGTCTGCTACAGTTGTGTCCCACCAGTAGCACCACAGTGGTGGAAAACAGTACTTTTTTTTTTTTTTTTTTAACTTCCGTGTACTGCAGTATTTACGCTTAGAAATGAGATCTTCTCATGAAAAACAGAGCACACCTACATGCGCCGTTTATTCCACTCATAGAAAAGTCCGCATGAGGAAAACAATCACACAACATATTAATGTCACACACCAGTCTAAACACACCACAGCCACCAACAGCAGCTACCACAGCCTGCTATGTGGGGCATTCAGGGGAACATCGTAAATTGTAGAGTCTCCTGATTAGAAAATGCTCAGCAAGTCATATCTTTTTCCTGTGACAAGGTGGGAAGTGCGAACAAATTAGAAAGTTGGTCGCACCGGTAAAAAAATTAGTCTGAAGCCCTGTGTGGATTTCCATGTGGTGCAAACATTGTTCAGTAAACGGCTGTGTATGCAGTGAGGTATGGCGTGGCTCTAACTTGGCTCCTTGCCAATGGAAAAGCAAACAGGTGGTGCAAGAATTGAACCAACTAAGCACTGGCACTAGCACCAGCAATGAACTAGCACCTGGTTCTTGAGAAAAGGGGTATCGGTGGTCACGGTCACCCTGCCCCCAGCCCCTGACGTATTTGGTGCTTAGCTCTGGCCCAGCAAAGAGTGCAGCAAGCAGTGCTTGCTAAGCACTAGTTTTGAGAGCCTGGAGCCGGTGCTTAGGTGGTGGAAACACAAAGAACTGGTGCAAAGTAAGGCACTGGCTCCGAATTAGCATTGGAACCGGTTTGGTGGAAAAGGGGTATATGTGACGCAGAGGGAGCCTGACCAAGCCTCCATATATGACGAGTACGGAGTGAGAACCTGTTGAGCAAACTTAACATTTGTCTGAGTAGATTTTAGAACCAGTGTTCCTTGTTGTTCATTCCAGGTGGCAAAGTGGAAACTGCAGTGCCATGTGGATGGATAATGTTTCAGTTAAGTACTTTAGACAATGAAGTCTCCTGTCGAATTTTACATTTGTTCTAAACAACAGATGATTCAGCAGTGTGTAGGGGTTAAACTAGACCAGGGCTATCAGGGATCAGCACATTCACTCTGTAATCTTGGGACACACAACTTCACCACGTTCCTCTTTAGGAGTGTATAATATTTTAATATTGTAATACTTTATTTAAACAATAAATAACATATGTTTTCACCCATACCACTAGGTCTTATAATGCTAGATTAATAACAGCTGTAGAATGTATAAAATGTAGCCACTTGGGAATATTGATTATTTCACTGGTTTTCCTTTCCTTGTTGTCAGTAGTTTTCCCAAAAGCTGTCTTGCAGACCCACCGTCTCTGTTGTCAGTCATACGGTGCAGATGGCATGTATAGATGGATGAATGACTCGATATAACAATGGATGGTAAAAAGTCGGAGACACACTGGGATCTTATTTTGTTAAATAATTGAGATTAAGTCGGTCTAATATTTCACATAAGCAATCTGTTATGTTTCCATGAAATTGCTAGAGTGCTATTTGTGTCCACACTTCCGCAGCCATTGCCTTTGAAAACAGGATATTAGGGAGGGTTTCCAACAAGTCCATTTAACTCTGATTGGTCAGTTCCACAGGCCTCATGGGGACCATAGACTGTAGAAGGACCCCCACCATGTCGGATGAGCTCTGTTTTTGTTATCATACATAGGATTTCTGTAATGCAGTCATCCTCAGCTTTCTTTTTTCAGATGCAAGCTTAGGAGATCACCAAACACTTTTTCTTTCCTCAGGTGGTTCACGTCATCCCTCCTTGACCCCATTCTGAACCTAACAGTAAATTAAAGAGAAATGTATCAACCTTTACCCTATGTTTTTGTGTGCATCATTATACAACTAACCTTTTGTTAGAACTTTATGCTTTCTGAGATGAAGAATGTTTTTTTCCTCCACTTCTTCAACAGTACTAAACTTCAACTGAATGTGTTTGTGACAAAACACAGATTTTTCTGTCATTATTCATTTACCAGTTACCCCAAAATGCATTTTTTTTCATCATCTCTACCGCCTCTGAATCTGTCAGCTCTTTGAGAGATTGAGAGTGTATTTTGTTTTCTTTTGACCAGCCAGCTGGACGAGACAAGGGTCTGGAGAAGGTGGGGGTCATGTAAACAGTCAGAAGAGTGCCCCTCTCTATGGTCTCTTTGCACGTAGAAGAGCGCTTAGTCTCCAGAAACCACTCAGTGAAAGCATAACAATGGTCCTCAGAGATCTCTAAATATAACATGCTCACTTTCCTGGGCTGTAAATAGGAAGATGGATGTAGTGAGCTAAAGTTAATTATACTGTTAAAGTAAAAAAAATTGCCTGATTATTAGCTTGCGAAAAAATGAAAAATCACATCCTTATTTCAAGGATCAATGCCCTGTTTTAGAAGCAAATGTTAACATGGTCTTAAGACAGCATGACTAACAACATCAAGGAAAGAAACAGAATAAACACAAGGAGGAGGATAAGAAGAAGAGCCCCATAACTGTTGGTAGCATCATTAGTTCCTCCTCTGCACTGCAGTGTGTATTTCTGGTTCAAATTCTGGTGTTCACAAGTCATTTACAACCATGTTTAAGCAATTCAGCTGATTGGAAACCACCAATGTTGTCAGTTTAGTTTCAGTAGTCCCAGGTTCTAACTTGACTTGACTTGAGACCTGTATTGATATTGTCTTACTAAAGTTCACGAGAGGAAATACTTTGTACAACTCAAAAATAATAACATAATTGAAATGTGATACAATTTGAATCATTTGAACATTAAGTGATGCTTCACATAGGGTGTGCTCACTCTTGTGATATATTGTATATCTCTTATGCCCTCACACAGATCTGGCCCCTATGTCACAACTAAGCTGTGATGAAAGGGATTTACCTTGGTTATTAGCAAACAGCTGGGAGACATTGGCACATGAGATGCTGATCACCTGTCCCACCTCAGCACGGTACCAGCACCGGATGTTGTCCCAAAGTGTTGGGCAGCCTGAAACAGGAAGACAACATTTATCACACATTAGCCACACTCACAGTTGGACTGATGAGATCGCAATAAAGGTTGCAGAAACTCTGTCTCTGCACAGCTTAAAAGCATCTTCAAGGAACACAACAAAGACCAAAATCACAATCAAGAATTGAGATTCTCATTGTCAAAGTTGACTCTTTGATACAGTACTGTAAGGTCTAGCCTTACCATGTGAAGTGCTCTGAGATGAGTTATGCTGTGAAGTGGAACTATATAAATAAAATGAACTCAGTTGAATGGAGTTGAAACTGAAATTATGATTGTAAAGCAGTCAAATCAAGAATTACTAAGAGCTGAAGTAAATAGAAGTGATTGGAAAATTAAAAAAAAAAAAAAAAAGAATACTAGAAGAGGAATTGGAGAGCACATCTGCCACCAAGGCCAATTTTTTTTCTTACACCTTTAAAGAAAGTGATTTGAATCTGCCTCAAAATTGAATGGGATGTTCACTTGGCCTCTCCACCAAGTTTTATGATCATCAGCTTGACAACAACTGTTGGCAAAATTAAAAACAAATAGACAAAGAAAAGACACTGTCATACCTCTGTCCAGGCTCTTGCTGGGGCTCTTGCCTTAATGGAGGAACATTTTGAAACTATAACTGGTACAACCCACTATAACAGTAGCACGAAAGCAAAAGCTAACATTATAAGATAATTTGGGTTTACTTGAACCAGGCATATTAATGTGTTTGTGGTGGTTCTGAGCGTGATGTTGATTCTACCTATAGTCAGTAAAACATGTCACAACAGGGGAACAGAATATTTGCAGCTGAACAGCTTAATAGTTGGTTTGCTACAACCTCTTAAGCCACAAGTTAGCTACAAACTCTCACACATAAATGGGCCAGCATCTGTGCACAGATGATCCAAAATGCTGCGGCCAGAGTTTTAACAGAAACTAGTGTGAAAGGTCATATTTCTAACATATTAACTTCTCTTCATTGGATACCTGTAAAATCTAGAATAGAATTTAAAAATCATTTTCCTACCATAAAATCTATTGTGTCTTTAAAGACCATATTTCTCAACAGAGCCCTTCTTACTCAGACTGCAGGTTTATTTGTGTCCATTGAGTTTCAAAAACTAGAACAGAAGCAGAGCCTTCAGCTATCAGTCTCCTTGGACACAGATTCCCACATTGGGGGCACAACAGCACAGCACAATATGAAAATGTGAATGTTTTTATAATGAGTGTTCTGTGGTGATATGTGTGCTAATGTTTGAAAAGTATGGCTGAAATAAATACATGAGATTTACATGGTATGTATGCATACAGCACATCCGCAGTCATCTACAACCAGGACACATGCCTGCATATACATCATTACATATCATACAGATTGAGCCAAGCATATACAGCTGGGATATAAAGCTAATGTATATTTCAGTATGTGGAATCAAAATGTGGAATTCTTTACAGAACGCCTTAAAATACAATTTAAACATTAATAAAATATTAAATATTAACATTAATATTAAAAAAAAAAAAAAAAAGCTGCTGACTGAATCTGTTCGTCCCTCATATGTTGGCTGGTTGCTAAAAGTACTGGCAGATAATCTGAGTGGAGCTGAAGTAATCAGTACATCAACCACTTAGGGACTGACAGAAAATCAGCTGCTTTTTTGATCATTGATATTATTTCTCAAGTAAAAATGAGAAAATAACGTGGTTTCAGCTACTCAATTTGTTTTGAATTGTCAATCTGTTTGATTGTTACTCACACAAACTGCTTCACCGTGAGCTTTGAGATGACAGTTTTTTCAATATTTTTTGCACTTTATGGAACAAAACATAATCAATTAATTAGTAATCAAAAGGGAGTCTGCTTTTTGATGAGAAAATATGATAGTAGAGGGTTTTTTTCTTCTTCTTCCTTGTTTGTTGATGAAAAATTGTCACCTAACCTAATATTTCTTTCACTGACTGTATATGAAGTTGGAGGAACCCATAGGTTTCCTGAACTCATTGTGGTGGCTCCAGACATCATCATCTTTGCAGTGCCGGATTCCTCCTAAATACTGGCTAAAGCATAAATGAGCAAATAGGTGGAATGTGAATGAAGGTCAAGTGGGCCAGTCCGCGTCCCGGTGAGGACACCTGGGATCTTTCTGCCTGGAGTTTGCATGCGTGTGGGTTCTCTCTGGGTTCTCCAGCTTTCTCTCACACGGTCCAAAAACATGTTGAGGTTAATTGGTGATTCTAAATTGTCCGTGGGTGTGAATGTGAGTGTGCTTGGTTGTCTCTTAAGTGTAGCCCTGTGATAGACTGGTGACCTGTCCAGGGTGTCCCCTGCCTTCACCTTAAGTCAGCTGGGATCATCTCCAGCCCCCCCGCAACCCTAGTGAGGATTAAGCGGTGTATAGATAATGAATGGATGGAGTTACTTAACAATTATCTAAAGTGTGTTTGTCTCAAAGATTAGGAGACGAAATCAGCTACAGAGGCCAAATTCATTTTTGTATCAGGCTGAAAACATGTTTATTTTTGCTACAAAGCTGGACATTTTAACACTGGAGTTTATGGGGATTGACTCGTGTTTGAAGACAGCCTCAAGTGGAGAAGAAACTGCAGTTCTTGGCACTTTAATGTTGGCTTTATTTTTCACCCCAGGAGGTTGCTGTTTGCCAAATTATCTCAGATATCGACCAAAAGCTATCCTGTTTCAATTTGTCTAGCAATTTGTTTCAGAAATTCAACCAAAGTTTGTAATTCAAAACAAAAAAGAGAAGGAAGGAGGTTGAACAGGAACCATCAAAAATATTCTGATGATTGTCATCTAAAAAATTAGTCAAGATTAACTTCCAGAATTAGCCAAATTTTCACCCGTTTTAGAAGAATAACAATTTCAGACGGACTTGATAAGAATATTTTGTCTGAGCCAATCATGTTTAAGACAGAAAGATTAACATTTGTCCTCCTCTTTTTTTATGCAGCGTACTTAAAATTCTTTAGCGACTGACTTGCTTGACCTCGAGCACTACTTAATCTTAGATACCAACTCACGAATCATTTTGGCAGTACAGAAAGTCAGTCTTCTGATGTCATTTTTCAAGGGGTTTCCCTCAGTCTGGCAAAGTAAAGGGGCGTTTGATTAGGTGACGTCCTCAGCTGTCCTCCCTGCCCACGCTTTGTCTCCACTGTTCCCCTCATATGGCTGACGAGCTCTCCCTGCTGCCTCCAAATGAGGTGTGGACGGGGGATAAGAGTGAGCAGTAATGAGGACCCTGTCTCTCTCCGCCACCACAGCGCCTCGTACATCAAAGCTCCTCGGCCCTATGTCAATTAAAACAGCAGCGTGGAGAGACACACCACCAGTCATTCATAATAAAACACAGCTTTTGGCTACTGCTGGAGGTTCTCCTGCCAAAGCTGTGATGAGGAAAACATATCACTGGATAAATGTGGCTTTGAACTCTCCTTTAATTTAGTGTTTTCTTTGCATCATGGCTGTTGTTTGTACCCTCAAAACAAGATGACATTTTCATTTTCATCTGTTGATTGAAGATGTTACATGATTAGGTTTTATTGCTAATACCCTAAAGGCCCCTCAGATAATAAAAAGTAATTGCAGAGTGGTGGTATAAATGAATACAATGCTTTTGTTTGAATCAGTGTGTGAGGAAGGGGTTCCATAGGTAGCAATGAAGTTCCTTGCTAATTAGAAGCAAAGTTTGTGACATTCTGGCAGGATGATGCAATGGATGAATGGACTAGTGCTTCTCATCAGGTATTAATGGTTGCACTCCTTGTCTTGTAAACAGAGATGTACTCAGTACAAGGCTATGCTTTTTCAGGCTTTCAGTAAATCCCTACACCAGAGCAAAATTATCCTGGTAGGATCAATGGTCCGTGTGACAGACTGTCATGTAATGAGCATCATTATGTGTACACATGCGCATGAATGTGTCATTGCAGCACATCTTCACACATTTTAACTGAACAGACCCTATAGCAACAATGCAAACAAAGGAAACATGAAACAAATTGAAATAAAAGAATTCTCTTTGGAATCCTCTGTTGATTTTTTTTTTACATTTTATCTTTCTAAGGTACCCTTTATTACATTTTATCAGCACTTCTGTAGTTTGTTAGACCATTTGGAAGACATCAGAAGTTGTCATCAGGATTGAGAGGCTGACATGAAGGGGGGAGGGAAGGCTAGGTGTGGGGTGGCCACGGATTTCAACAGTGAAGCCTGCTGGAGGGCTATGCATATACTTATAGAACAGTAATTACCATTTTACTGACAACTATTTTGCAGAAACATTTCTCTACAGCTGCTGATCTCACAAATACAGCAACACAGCACAAATAATGCCAAAAACTGACCCCCAAGTTCCATAGCTCAAAACTGTTATGTAACCGAGAGGTTTAGGGTGCTCTTCCAAATTTAGGGATTTGTAATTATATTTGAGTTTTTGAACACATATATTTTGAAGGTTATACTAATATAGGAAAACAATGAGGAATTGTAAAATAGTTTGGGCCTCCAATAAATATAAACATATTTTCTATAAAGGTGCTCCAAATCCCGAAGATGACTTTGTGACAACACAAATACGAGAGAGCAACAAGAGATGCACATCATTGTCTGTTAAATGCCTGAAGCACAGCTACCATCTAATTTGGCTTATTGGATTATCTTTCTTGCCAAGAGGTGTGGAAGGTAAACAAAGTCAAACCTGGCTGTGCAGTTTTGAGGCATCTTTGTCTCACATGAATTACTGCTGTATTTAAGAATTCACCTCGCTGGCATTTATGTGACCTATAAAAAAAAAAAAATCAGGCACAAGATATGACAGGAGTTTTGTCTTTCCTGAGGACAGGTGTGATGAGGGAAGGAGAATTAGATTGATCAATCCTCAGTCTAAACTTACAGTCCTTCCTGTCTTTCCTCTTCTCCAGCTCCAAAGTCTCAGTAGGACCTTTATTCCTCTTCTAGCTACAACTTTACCTCA